AAAATTGCATATTTTCCAGTGGAGATATTGACCCACTCTATCATGCCAATTTTTATATTCAGTGGGTGCTAACACTGTACAACCTGATACAAGATGGCCAATTGTTTCTGGATATTTATCACAGAATCTGCATTTGGTGTCAACACATTTTTTCAGTGAGTGTGCTTGGTAATATCTAGTTAACCAGCCTGTGCAGCAAAAATAAAACCCTGCACTATGTAACCACAGATGGGTACTGGGAATTGTCTACATCTACTTGTTGGGTACAGGCATGGTATTGATCACGAAGAGCTTATCTTGCTATCATTTCTGCATTTGGTTCATTGCATTTGTTTTGTTTTCTTTTTTAGATTCTTTGCCACTGCAGTTGGTTCATTATGGATCATTTGCACTTCTTCAACCACTTGACATTCCCTTTTGAATTTGTTGGCTTCCTTTATTAATGAATAAAGTTTCTTATTTTTTTTCATGTTCTTTGACACAGATCATCACTAATCTTCTAAAGTTTCCAGATATGTGTGAAGACCAATTGTTGCGGTTTTGTAAGACAGTTCTAGTTGAACTAATCCTCTGTCTTCTTCAGATTTGGGCACATACAGATGATTAATATCAGCCTTAGGATGATACACGCAGTGGAAAGTGAGAGGTATTCTCATTTTGACATGCTGTATTCCATCTCCTTCACTGACTCCTAGGTATTTATAGGCTTCTTCCTGTTCCAGTTCTCTAATCTTTGGGGTTATTAATTATCATTGATAAAGCGTGTGTAAGAGTTTTATGGATTGATGACAGATGATAAAGCTAAAATGTGGATAACTTGACATTTCTTGGGTATTTTCATTTTTGGGATTTTGTTAGAGCTTGCCTAACATTATTCTTGCTTATATTTTTCCATTCTTCGGCCTATCTTCCATTCTTTCTTGTTCTTGTTTGATTCACTCTGTATTAGGATTATATTCCTTTGGTTTACTCCAAATAGTCTCCTGAAATTTTTGCTTTTCTTCAATAAATGGTGGCTTTTTGACTTCTATAACTGCTTTTCCAAGTTCATTGTAAAACTTCTTGAGGCCTGTTTGGAATATCTTATTTTGTTGATAGAATCTACAATGCTTTTCATGTCATCATTGTTATTACTATTATTATTTTCAGTTACATCAATGCAACTTTCATTTTTACTACAAGATAAATGAAAGACATACTGAATTGCATTTTTTCCATATTAGACAGCAAAAATCTATCTAATAATTTAAAATCTAATTAGATATATTCTTACATCTTTAATTTCCTGTTTCAAAAGTTATTCTGAAAATAACTTTAAAATGGGCAATTCAAAGTTAACACATTTAATAGTTAATTAAATGGATTAATTAAATCACATCTTGTCCAGTGTAAAAATTCATGATGTTCATGCATAAGTGGGAAAATATTCAAAGTTTTCCTGTCATGAAATTTTAATTTCAATTATTTTTCTCATTTTCACATAGAAGGTAATATAATCAATTCTATGGTTTTTATTACACTTATATTTACAATAAATTGTAACAGTTTATTTGATAATAATGCTGTTTCCTAAAATAATTATCTTCTGTTAGTTGGATTAATGGATATAGTTGAAGAAACCTTTTTGTTACATGATGATTTTGTGCATTAATGTACTTGTAAAATCTGTAGAAACTTGATAGAATAAATATTTTCAAAGCATGTTAACAAATGGTTATGTTTGTGTAGTTTGAATCTTGACTTTAATAAGTTATGTTATAAAAGTTTATAGAATCAAAAGAAGTTTCAAATCAATATTGCTAATAATATGAAATCTTTTTTTATAGTTATGATTCAGAGAGTTTGGAACATTAAAAATATCTTAAACCTAACAATTACAAGAACCATTAATATGCCATATAACTGCAATAATTTTTATTTTCAAGACAAACTTTGCTATTTTATTAATCAAACACTAACATAATTAATTGAATTATTAAAATTTTCTGTTTAATAAATAAATTCGTATTTTACTTCTGCTGGTTCCAATCTTAGGTAAAATAACTGCAAAATTCTTCCCCCTTCCCAATTTATAGCCAGAACCACACAAATGCATTCTGGGATTTATTCGTAGCCAATAAGATAGGCCAATTCTTGGTCTCATCTGTCACAGTCCTGGTCTGTCTTGTCTTGAAGCCAGACATTTTTATAACCCCCCCCCACACGACAAAAAAATCTAGCATAATCCAAACGGTTAGCCCTGGTTCACTCCTGAAGGCACTACTGCTATAGCACACTGCAACCACTACTTCAAAATCTCTCACTAGGAACGATGTAGTCTGGCCCTTACTTACTTCAGAACCACCCGCAATCACTGTAAGAGAGTCCTGGAAAATGCAAAGGGCAGCTATATTCAATCTATCCAGGCCAAGGTAGAATATTAACAAATTGGATCTGACAAATTCTGGAAGATCACCAACCAAACTATGAACAGAGGCAAAGAGGCTGTGCTCACTATTATAAATAGCTACAAGGTCATACCATCTTTGACAGAAGCTCCATCTTTGCCTCAGACACAGTGTTAGATGACACAGGCCACTCCCTCCTCAACTTCCCACATCTCAATGAGCACAATCTCGGTAATATACTCATTTCAGTAAGAGAAGTCTCTAGACATATCAAAAAATCTCCCCACCCACAAAAAAGCCACTTGTCCAGAGAAAGTTTCAGTATTTCAGTGATCATCTTTAAGAGTATCAGCCCAGAATTATCCCCAATTCTAGCAAAGTAATTTATCTGTTGCTTGAAGGAGAAATCTTTCCCAAGTATGTGGTAAGTGTATGCCCGGTCTTCAACTGATCCTCCCCCTCCTAGTATAGACCCATTAGTCTCCTCAGTATCATCAGTAAGCTTTTTGAGGTCTTAATCCAAAAGGAGGTTGTAGAGCACCTAGATAGGAACAACCTCTTGTGTGACAAACAGTATCGGTTTTATCAGTCCAATCCACTGCTGATGTCCTAACTACCATTATACACAGAAGTAGTGAGGCCCTTGATGACCCACATACAGCAAGGACTATAGCATTAGACATCTCAATAGCCTTTGACAAGGTGTGGCAGAAAAGTTTGCTACACAAACTCTCCAGCTATGGAATAACTGGAAGGGTTTTTTCTATTATAAAAGATGAAGGTAGTTATTAATGGCCAGTCTTCTGAAGCCCTGGCGGTCAATATAGATATCTCCCAAGGGGTCACTTCTTGGTGCAATCCTCTTCTTGGTTGATATAAATAATCTACCTAAAAATATACAATGATCATTGGTAAATGTCTATGCTGATGATACAATGATATACAGGCGCATCTCTAAAACTCTTGATGATCAGATATTGACAGGCAGCTTCTCTTCCAATCTAACATTAACTACCCAGTGGGGGAAAAATGGCTGGTTACATTCAATGCCTCTAAAACAAAACTGGTTACATTCTATCACCACTGATCAGGTCCCGAACTACCACGTCATGATGAATGGATGTCCCCTTGAGGAGGCCCTATGCTTCAAGCGGATATTGGGCCTCAAACTCACACCTGAATTTGTATATACGATCCATTGCTAAAGATGCAAGTAAAGTGATTGGTTCCGTGTACGTCTCCAGTAAGTACCTGACTTCTCATGCTATCCTCTACCTTTATCAGGCCGAAAATGAAGTACTGTTGCCACATTTGGGCGGGAGCTGCCCAGACCTCACTTTCAAGTCTTGATAGAGTTCAAAAGCATCACCACGTCCTTGTGCAAGAAGAATTATTTTCTACACTCCAAGCTCTCTCTCTCTCTCAGATGGGGGGTGGGTGGATGTGGTGAGCCTCTCACTGCCTTTATCGCTACTACCATGGAAAGTGCACAGATGAACTGCATCTCCTGGTTCCACCAGGTCAGATCTTCATGGCTAGGACTCACCATACCACTTACATAGTAGCAAACCCCCACCCACATTCACTCCATATTCCATTGGTGAGAAATAAGTTCCACTCAAACAGCTGCTTCCCGCAAGTCTAACCCTTTGCCATAAACGCCCTAGAGGATGTTTCTCGGATCATTAAAATCTTAACCTGTCCTAGTCTAGAGTCAACCATTATGTTCTCCTCCTATCTATATAAACTACCTCTTAACGTAACCTTCTACCTTGAGTGGCCCTGGGCCTTGTACTGAGTGAACCTTACTTAGTTTACAAACTTTTTGCTTTATTACTGTTGCTTTGTCTTGCTTTGCTTGTTTAATATTTTTTACCCTGTTCTTTTCTTCTCTTTTTATATTATTTATTGCAAACTTTGTCAATTCTGTTTGTTGGGCAGTTCTGCCATTTACATTTAAGTAATAAAATACATGCTAACACCAGAAACAATTTGTGGATTGTTAAAACATTTATCAACCTGCTTAACATATGACTACTGTTTGAACCAATTAAAAAAGCTTTGCTCATTTTTGTTTGTTTTTTCAGAGACTCGATAGTATTTTGCTTTCAAAAATTAAAATTTATTGTTTCATGAACAACGTATGATTTTTATGTTTTTTGTAAAAAAAAGAAAAAATATTAAACCCAATGGTTCTTTTCTACACAATCATTCTACTTCTGTACCAACCACTTTCATTAAAAATTCATTTTGGTAAAGTCTCGGACAAGATATTATTTCTTTTTACCATTTTTACTCCATTATCTCATTGTTGACTTTTATTACAACACTGATAATGTACTCTTCAAGTTCAAAAACAAACAGAAAAGTAAAAAGGAAAGAATTAGATTGCAATGAAATCTGACTGGCATCCCATATCATAGGAAACAAGACTTTAATAGATGTGGCATTAACATATTTGGCCCTAAAGTGGTTAATGCAATAACTGCTAGAAGAAATGAACAGAACATTAGAAAATAAATTAGTCTTCACTATTATGAAACTAAGACATGCATGATATACATTCATTAGCGACATTATTTGACTTGAATTGAGAATCAAAAATTACCATACCTGAATGCTGGATTCTGTATTGAAATTTTGATTTTCCTTAGAAGCATCCAGAAGCTTTTGTTTCTCTTTGAAGTGTTTATCTTCTAATTTCATTAGCTCTTCCAAACGTTTCTCTCTCAATTTCCTTGTAAGCTCTTCAAGCTTTTGACTGGCATCTATTACAGAAGAAAGATGGCTGACTGATCTTTCATTTAAATTTTTAAATTTATTTTGATCTAATTCAAGCCAGCAACCTAATAACCAATTTAAGTTTAATAGCTGTCAGTGTTTAAGTAATAAAACCTTCTGTCATAAGTTGTATTTGTAACAACATTTAATTAAATATTAAATATATATATATTTTGAAAAATTTCACCCAAATCAAAGCAGGAGTGCCACTAGCGTGCAATGGTTTACAGAGGGTAAGAGAACAAGAGTAAAGAGGGGGCTGCTTGAGGAAAGGATAAAGAGAAGGACGGGGGGACAAGACCAAGGCATCGGAAGATGTCGATTGACATTACACTTGAATTTTCTGAAGATTATAGTTATCAGAGAAGCAAGTAAGAGGAAGGGAGTTTCACAGATGAGAGATGTGAGTAGAAGAGATGGTTACATTTAAATATTTCGACAATGAAAGGGTGGACTGAGGGAACCAGCGAAAGTAGCTCGTCGGAACAGTTGCCATGAAAATACTTGTAGAAGAGATAGAGGGAAGCCATGGCACATCTGTGAGAAAGCAACTGTAGATGAGATGCCAGATCAAAACCTATCACATTACATATTCGTCTCTGGATTTTGTTGAGAACCTTGAAACATAACAGCAGAGGCACCATATATGACAGCAAGGATAGATGGTTGATTTATAGATTTGATGGATGGACTCAGATGAGAAAAACTTTCTGGCATGACACAGAGCACCAACTTTCCTTGCAGTAGCTGAAGCCATTGATTCAATGTATTTTTTCCACCTCATGTCAGCGGACAGTGTGAGACCAAACAGGTGCAGCGAGGCACTCTCGTAGAGTTGGGTATCAGCCATTCTGATGGGAGGCAGGGAGGGTTCTCTGTGGTGGGTAAATGAGAGCAGTTATATTTTGGAGGCATTAAAGTTTACAAGCCATTTCCTGCCCCAGTCAACAACAGATTGGAGGTTTTTTTCAAGACTAGCAGCAAGGTTAGTTTTGTCAACAATACCAGATTTACTATTGAGGAAGGAGTAAAAAGTAATGCCATCTGCGTAGATGTCTACTTGGGAACTGATGATATCGAGAAGGTCGTTAATGAAGATCAGAAACAGTGTAGGGCCAAAGATAGCACCTTAGGGAACACCAGCGTTCGTGATAAAGGAGCTGGAGGAGAATCCGTTTAGGATGACCTTCATTTCATGGTTTGACAGGAATGATTGTATTAAGTCAAATAATCATCCTGTAATACCGTATTGCTGAAGCTTACGAAGAAGGTTGGCATGCCAAACCCTATCAAACGCTTTAGAGGTATCTAGAGCCACGGCTTGAGCTTCTCCGTTATTGTGAAGTGCTTGGTATACAAATTCAGTTATGGCCGTTATCACGTCAGCGGTAGATCGGGCAAAGCGGAAACCATATTGCTTGTCGCAGAGCACATCATGGGATGTAAGGTGCTTAACCATTTTGGTGCTGAATAAAGTCTCGAAGACTTTACCGAAGAGTGGTAGAACAGGCACAACAGACGAGGACTTCTAACAGGCTGGAAAACAAGAGTCGGTGAGGCAATATTTATAAAGTTTGGAGAGGACAGGAGCCAGTTCAGGAGCACATTTCTTCAGGACAAGTGCTGGTATCCCGTCCCCATGACCTGCCTTATGGGAATCTAATTTAGAGATGATGCCCAATACTATCGTTGGAGTTATGTGCATCTTACTCAGTAGAGCCTCAGTTCTACGGGAAAAATCAGGTGTGGGTACACCAAATGACTCTAGCGTTGAATTAGATAAGAATTTCCGAGTAAAGCATTCAGCCTTATCAACTGAGGAAGTCAGGACCTCATATTGATTGAATAAAGGAGGTATTGTGGGTTTGCTGTTGTCCAGCAAGCTCTTGCAGAGCCGCTGAAATCTTTAGAACCAAACTTGCAAGACACAGTACGTTATTTCATTCTTTCAGTAAAGAGTAACTTTGCTTCATTGAGGATACGCTTGTACTCATCATGCGCAGTGACAAAGAGATGTCTGTTGCGATCAGACGTGTCTCTATGGTACATACGGAAGTAGTGATTCCTGTGGGTAATAGCAGCTGAGCAAGCAGCTGTGAACCAAGAGGATGAACGCGATTTCACTTTATATTTTCTTGCAGGTGTGGCACCTTGCATTATTAGAAATATTCATAGAAATATGATTTAATTTTTTCTTACTCGGTTACTAAACAGGTTGTTAATTTTTTTTTTTTAAACGGAAAATAACTGAGTTGAAAATAATTCACTAAGATTGTACTAGACGATCCTAAGGAAAAAGAAGAAGGAAAGAAAGGAAAAGGAAGGAAGGGAAGAAAAAGAAAGAAAGAGAAATGTATGACGCATGACCCAATTGAGGGTGGAGATAGGAGTCAGAAAGAGATTTAGGTCAGCGTCTTGGCCGATTTTCGAAAGTCATTTTGGTAAGAATGTCGGTCAGAGCACCTAGCCTACTTTTTGCATGGAAAGACACCTTATCAATTTGGATAAAGAGAAATTTTGGGAACAATGAAACAATTTTTAATCAGGGAAAAGTGTCTTTGGGTTGGGGGAGGACCGGTGGAACGATATACAGACCTGTTAAGAATTGGACACCCACGTTAATAAAGTAGAGACATTTCAATGTAGATAATTAAGATTTTCGACTATCAGGTAAAACAAAGAGGTAAAAGAGGGACAATTGCTTTGGCTCACAGAGGGCGCCAAGAAGGCGGAAAAGATCCTTTCTAAAGTCAAGACTAATTAGCAGCGGGCTGTTTAACAAAGTCCAGGTGAGAGAAAGCCAAAGATTGTCATTTTGCGTACAAAAAAAAAAGGGGCAAAATTGGATTTTGTTTTTTTAAACAAGAACGATGTAACCACGCCCGCAAACAGAGGGGAGAGGATGTTCGATCAATAACAATTGGTCGAATACGATCACGTGACCTGCGGAAGAAAAGGGAAAGAAATGTTTGATCAATAACAATTGGTCGAATACGATCACGTGACCTGCGGAAGAAAAGGGAAAGAAATGCTCGATCAGGAACGATTGGTTGAAAAGCGGTCACCTGACATACGAGAGACTAAGAGAGATGGATGTGCGCCGCCCCACCAAAGGTACTGCGAGGAAGTAGGGGCGAAAACAATAGCGATAATGGAGAAGACAGAATTAATGCAGTTTTGGAATTATCGAGAAAAACCCTGACGCCGACAGACCCACCCCAGTTTGTTGCGGCGTCAATATAAGCAGGACCCCAGTCGACAGAAATCAGTAGAGTGGAGTTGCAGTTGGAGTTGAGAGTTGGACCGCGGGCAGGATAGAGCCTGAACGCGGCCATCAGGCCCGATTCACTCGCCCCCTTTGCGGGCAGTAGAATCCTCAGACAAGAAATCCTTCCAGCCCAAGTCGAAGACAGGAGAACTTCCAGCCCAAGTAGACGAAGAAGAAGATTGCCTGAAAGCCTGAGAAGAATTGGAGATGCAGACAAGCCGAAAGTCGATGAGAAGTTAAAGTTCATCCCCGGACGGCAGCGAGAAAAGAACCCTCAGACAAGAAGAACTTCCAGCCCAAGTAGATGAAGAAGAAGATTGCCTGAGAGCCTGAGAAGAATTGGAGCTGCAGACAAGCCGAAAGTCGATGAGAAGTTAAAGTTCAGCTCCGGACGGCAGTGAGAAGAGACCACCTCAGACGACAGAGAGTTGCGGCTAAGTTGAAACAAGAAATCTTCCACCAAGTTGAAACAGGAAAACTACCAGCCCAAGCAGACGAAGAAGAAGAAATACAACTCAAGTCGGAGAGAAGAATCAACTGCGAATGATCGATAGAAATTAGCCCCAGTGTCGAACTGAACCACACCCGACATACATACATGATTCTAGAAAGTAGGTAATTGACATTTTCTATTGTGTGATAGAAGCTTGGTGCCATAGTCCACAGAGCGGGTCGGGAAATGAGAACAATTTTGTTTTTATGTAACGGACTTTAAGATATAAAAGGTTGTTACCCTTTTATCAGCAATTTTGTTTGGTGTCGTGAGTTTTTATTTTATTTGTGTTTTGCCACCCCTGTCGGACTCAACTTGTATCGGCCCCGATCCCTGCTGGTCCTGTCTGTCTAAGATCTAAACACAGCGTGGGTAGACAGACCGGAGATCGGTATAGTTGCTTTAGTGACCAGGTATTGGAAGCGAGTCGGGAAAGGCGAGGCTGGTGATCATCTGACCAAAGGGTTGGAGCGGCACGCTTGGACCCAGGAGGAGCGACCAGGAGGAGCGACGTCACCGTTGGCGCCGTAACCAAAGGATCCGACACTGGGCCAGGTGTGTAACCGTCACACAGGGATGAAAGCCTCGATTCCAGCTTTTACCCAGGATGAGACCTCAGACTCACATTTTTGGACGGGAAGATTAAAAACAACATTCCAGGGGACATCACAAAGGAAATCACGGAACGAATCCCAATCTGCTCGTTGATAACAGAAAGATAGTAGAAAATTCTTTACTGGGGGAGGAGTAGAAGGAGATATTAACAGACACAACGGTATAATCAGAGTTGCCAAGAGGGCAGAGCTGTGTGGCACGACAAAACTCGGCGATGGAGGTAAAACAGATCAAGAAGGGAAGCTTACCATCATGGTCACTGGGAAAACGTGTAGGAAAGGCAACCACTTTTGTGAGAGAATGAGTGATTGAAAAGTTAAAAGTTAAGGGTTTGTATGCCAGGAAGGTCAGTTACAGAGTGTTTAAGCCATTTGGTATGGTGGGCATTAAAGTCACTGAACACAAACATGTTTGCAGACGGATGTAGAGAGATTGACTTGTCTGTACTATCGAGTACACCAGAGTCTTGCGAGGATGAAGAATGATAGAGAAAGAAGAGATAGATTTGAGGAGAGATAGACGGAGATATATATGAATGGAGATTCAAGAGAGAGTTCCCTATCCAGTGGGAGATGGTCCCGTTCGTAGACTCCCAGGCCATGCATGTGGGTTATAGAATCCTTTCTAAGGAGAGGAAGGTAACCGGGAATCGATAAATCAGAGGAGGGGTTTGAAAAATTAAGGTTGGTATCGCAGAGAGCTAGTATATCAGGAGACTTCTCAACGATGAATGATTCCACATTGTAGGTCTGGGTGCCACGGATGTTGGAAATGGAAATGTTAAAGGGTTTAAGTGATTTTTTAGAGCTGGTTTAGGTTTACTTTTTTGATTGTTTATAGTCATGTTGAGTAATGTTGGTAATGAAAGTGAAAAGTGAAAAGGCCTAAGTAATAGTGGCTGACGATAATCGTATGTGACACAGAAAGGATCTGGCGCAGCCTGCAACATAGTGTGGCCTTGGGGTTGCCCACTGGATGTGGTTGCCAGGAAACCCTTCCATGCGCAACATGGAACTATAGGCACCCCGATTTTATGCAACTGTTATCAGAACAACCGCTCAAGACGCTATGCAAGAGTTAGGGCTCCTAACTACCAGTCGGTAATAGCAATCAGAAAACTGTCAACCCAGTATCCACAGAGATGTACATAACAAACTGTACATAACATAGGGGATTCACGATAGTACTAATACGAAGGCCAGAGAAAAGGAAAAGGTCCAGGAAGCCCTTCCTAAAAAGGAAACAAAGCCTCTATATCTTCAAGAGAAGTGGGAGGAGTATTGACTTTTTTAGCAAAGTATTAGAAACTCTAATCAACTTTGAATTGCTTAAGCATCTCACCTCGCAGGATCTTCTTTCAGATAAAGGTATACACATCTTACTTCTCTATATCAACTGCTGATGTATTAATTGTTGTACAAGAATAAAGCGTCGCTGCCAACACTGGAGTTTGAACACAGATCACCAGTAAGCAAACACAAGTGATTCCATTTCTAATAAGTAGATCACGTGATGGCAAAGGAAATGTATATATGAGAAGTAGTGTGACATCTAAATGATCACTATTTCTACACTATCCTCTATTATTATATGGATCGCTATTCTCTCTACTATTCACTATACTATTTCTCTATAGTGATCACTATACGGATGACTATTCAGATCATTATTTGGTGGTTACTTTTTGAGCGAGTATTATCGAGCAAGTACTATTAGTGCGAGTGTTATTCGAAGCGACTGACGATCATTACAAAGGTGACATCGAGTATTCGTTGACATTACAAAGTGGCTACGAGTGTTCGTAGACATCGCAAAAGTGGCGATGAGTATTCCTTCAACTTACACGAGGATTCCTTCAATTTACAGGAGGAAAAATTAATCCGTAAAATATTCAACGGAGTACAGCGGAATGGAAGAATTAAAAGCTATCATGATTCAAAAGTTGATGCTACAAAAGCAACAACAAGAACAACAGTTTCAGCAACAAAAACTACAACATGAATAGCGATTACAATTACAACTACAACAACAGAAGTTTTTTGAGTTGTCCGAAAAACTATGGAAGGAAAAACTTCAGATTCTGGATACTGTTGATAATTCAATCAGCGAATTTGTCTGCAATCCAGATGAAGCGATAACTTTTCCAGCTTATTATATAAGATATGAAGGGATCATCAAAAGGGATTGTTTGCATTGGAATGATGAAAAGAAAGTTCGTTTATTATTAAGGAAATTGTCCCCTACAGAACATGAAATATATGTCAATTAGATATCATATATATATGCCAAACATGCACGAATTAAGTGCACCCTTGAATAACCCGATAAAGAAAGATGTGAAATGGAATTGGACAGATAAATGTCAAAGTGCTTTCAAAGAGATCAAGACAGTCTTAACATTAGATTTGTCATTAGCTCGTTTGGACTCTAAATTAAAAGATTGTGATTGTATTAGATGCAAGTGATTCGGGTATTGGAGCAGTGATACTACACAAATATGAGGACGGAACAACTAAAGCAATAGCTCATGCTTCAAGATTATTATTTGCAGTTGAATAAAAGCTACAGCCAGATTGAAAAGGAAGCATTGGCCATCATATTTGTTATGAAAAAGTTTCATAAATTCATTCATGGTAGAGAATTCATACTACGTCCATGATTGTCCATATATGGATAAAAAAGGGTGTTCCCACACATACAGCGAATAGACTGCAGCCCTGGGGAAGTATCCTATTGAATTATAATTATAAAATGGATTTTATACCATCGAAAAAATTGTCATGCACGCGGATTATCGAGACTAATTCCAAAATTCTGCGAAACACTTGAAGACACAGTAATTGCAGGGATAAGGGGCAAAAATGAAATTAATAATGTATTATATAATACCATACGAGAACTTCTCATAACACTGGAGGAAATAAGAGCTAAGTCAGAAAAAGACTAATTTATAATGAAAATGAAGAAACAATTAAGATTTAAAGGAAAGATATTATTGGAAATAATGCATTTTCATTATGTAATAATGTACTTATGTACGCAGAAAGAATTGTTATACCAGCATCGTTGCAAAAATAGGGAGGGTGAGGAGTCAGGTGAAGTAATGATTCAGCAATTTCTGAATGTTTACAGAATAACACCAAACCCGAACACCGTGTCTGGAATATCGCCTGCAGAGTTGATGTTCGCAAGGAAGATTAAGTCCGTTTTCAATAAGTCAAGCCCAAGTCAAGAACATCAAGAAATAACAATACAAGTAGATACTTCCAATCTGGAGATAAGGTATTTTTTAAGATGTATCAGCGCGGAAAGGAATTCTCGAAAGATGGCGTTATAAAAAACAACAAAAAAAAACAAAAAAAAACAAAAAACGGATCGGCAAAATGACATACATGGTACAGGGACAACATTAATCAGTTAAAATGTAGATTCACTGATTTAAAAAGTTCCCGAGAAGAGGTACCAATGGAAATTCTATATGACACGTTTAAAGTACCTACACCATCAGAAATTGTTGAACCAAGGGTTTATAGCAAAAGAAAAAAAATTCCAACAGAATTACTAACTATTAAACCGAAGCTGAAGAAGTATAGACTCCAGGGGAAGTCATCTCAATTGTATAGGAATAAAGTGTGGCTGCCAACACTGGAGTTTGAACACAGATCACCAGTGAACAAACGCAGGTGATTCCATTTCTAATAATTAGATCACGTGATGGCAAAGGAAATATATATATGGAAAGTAGTGTGATGTCTAAATGATCACTATTTCTACACTATCCTCTAGTACTATACGGAGGGCTATTCTCTCTACTATTCACTATACTATTTCTCTATAGTGAGCACTATACGGATTACTATTCAGATCATTATTTGATGGTTAATTTTTGAGCGAGTATTATCGAGCAAGTACTATTAGTGCGAGTGTTATTCGAAGCGTCTGACACTAGTATTGTTCAAAAGCGTTACTATAGGTGTATCTGTGATTACAAAGTCTCTACTACAACAAGTATTACGAAAGTGACAACGAGTATTCGTAGACATTATAAAGTGGCAACGAGTGTTACTGACATCACTAATATAATGATTACTACTGAAAATGTCCACCAAGCTTTAGATAAGAATAGTGAAGCTCAGCCTTGGATATCTCAAAGTCATTTGACAGAGTTTGGCATACTGGTCTTCTTCACAAGTTGAAAAGTTATGTCATTTCTTAACAAATGTTTTAACTAAATCAGTTTTTCTTATCAAATTGCAAAATGGAAGTTGTCTTGAATGGCCACTCTCCTAGATATCTTTGCATTAATGCAGGTGTCCGTTAGGGTTCTGTCCTTAAAACTACATTATTCCTAATTTTCATCAATGACCTTTCTGATCAGTTCACAATTCAGTATTTATGCTTATAACACAACTATTTACTCCTGTTTTCATAGTAAATCTGATGGGTTCAATAAGGTCAATAGTTTCTTATTAGGTGGCGTAAAGAATGGCTTGTTAATTCTCATGCCTCCAAAACAAAATCATGTTAATCATCTGAGAGAAGCATTTTTGCCTTCCATCATGTTAACCTCTAGGAAATTAACTTCCTGGACTAACATTTTCTGCTAAAATGAAGTAGAAAGATTATATTAAATCAATTGCCAGATCCGCTGCTAAGAATGTTGGTTCAGTGTGTCATGAGGCAAATTTTCTCCCCTGAATCTATCTTACATATTTATAGTTGGTACTATGCTGACAGTTTATTCTTTTGCATATCTCACTTGCGGAACTATCATCTAACTTCTTGTTTCATAGTCAAGATTGATCTTCAAAAATTTAAATGGAATATCAGTCATTATTGTTTGTCTTTTAAATTCCTGTTCTTTTATTGTTCTCTCTCTTTAATAATGTTTTGTCTCATATTCACTCATACTCAGTAACTCCTTGCATCTTAGTGACTTTATTGCCTTGCTTGTGATGAAATGATATATATTTTGATTGCAGTCAGTTTCAGTTGTTTACCTAAAGGTTTATTTTTTGACATTAAAATATATTACACGTATTAATCTTAAATAACTTTATGTAGTGGAATTTAGATTAAATACTTTACCAGTATCTATATATCTATGTCATCCATTATGTATTGTTTATTGTTACTGCAGATTAGATAGTTGCTCAAACTCTTAAAATAAATGAGCAATTTATATAAACAAAATATTTGCGTGTACTTTTTCACTGATGAATAAATTATTGGCGAAATCCTTGCAGAGACAACTGAAATACATGTAGACATAAACGCATTTGAGCCAGTTCATTCAAAATTGATGTTCCTAATGACTGCTTGCAAGTATGATTCAAATGATAGCTGAGAGATTAAATGCTTCTAATGACACTCACCTTCATTTAACTGTTTTCTGAGATACACTTTGTCTCTTTTGAATTCATCAATCAACTCCTGACACCTTTTGTGAATCAGTTGCCCATTATTGACAAATGTGTTCAATACATTACCCAACAAGGACACACTTTCATTCAAAGGCATGTCTTCTTCCATTTCACTGAGAATTTGCTTCTCAGCAACCATTCTTCGGCTCCATTGCTTTTTGTTTAAACTCTTGAAATGAAAAAAAAAACAGTAATAGTTTTACAGCTATATTAATTGCAAGATTCAAATGAAATTGAATCCTCACCACAATAAACATGAAGAATGAAAGACTTCAATACATACCTACACACACATAAACACACACATACAAATCGTTGCTGCATGTTATGATAATTTTTTCTGAATGTTGCTTAAAATCACCATTCCGAATAATATCTTCTAGAATCTAAAGTAAAGATTATAATTTTATTAATCTTGAATAAAATCTTGAATGTTTAAGAATTAAATGCTATTTTGCTAAACTGATGTCAAACCAAAATTCACAGATTAATATAATTTTGTTGTAGCTTTTTGCCCCTATTTCAGTGTATGTCGAAATTACAACGGATAGTAACATTTGACAACGAAAAATTTGAAGGTTAATACCAACACGAAATGAATACTAGAGTGTAAAAAAATTATAGTCATATACAAAGGAATTATTTGCCCACTAATCAACTTCAGATTAATTCCAAGTCGGACATGTAAAAACAAGAAAGAATTGGTCGGGTTGCTCAGTTAAATTTTGTCTCTATAAAGAAATATGAAGATTTTAAAGAAGCAATGTTTGAATTCATGAGAATCCAGCAGAAACAAAACGAATGGTTGGAGGAACAACAATATTTGGACTAGGAATGCTCTGAGAAACAAAACGAATGGTTGGAGGAACAACGATGTTTGGCCTAGGAATGCTCTGAGAAACAAAACGAATGGTTGGAGGAACAACGATGTTTGGACTAGGAATGCTCTGAGAAACAAAACGAATGGTTGGAGGAACAACGATGTTTGGACTAGGAATGCTCTGAGAAACAAAACGAATGGTTGGAGGAACAACGATATTTGGACTAGGAATGCTCTGAGAAACAAAACGAATGGTTGGAGGAACAACAATGTTTGGACTAGGATTGCGTTGAGAAACAAAACGAGTGGTTGGAGGAACAACAATGTTTGGACTAGGAATGCTCTGAGAAACAAAACGAATGGTTGGAGGAACAACAATGTTTGGACTAGGATTGCTTTGAGAAACCAAAAGAGTGGTTGGAGGAACAACAATGTTTGGACTAGGGATGCTCTGAGAAACAAAACGAATGGTTGGAGGAACAACGATGTTTGGACTAGGAATGCTCTGAGAAACAAAACGAATGGTTGGAGGAACAACGATGTTTGGACTAGGAATGCTCTGAGAAACAAAACGAATGGTTGGAGGAACAACGATGTTTGGACTAGGAATGCTCTGAGAAACAAAACGAATGGTTGGAGGAACAACAATGTTTGGACTAGGAATGCTCTGAGAAACAAAACGAATGGTTGGAGGAACAACAATGTTTGGACTAGGATTGCTTTGAGAAACCAAAAGAGTGGTTGGAGGAACAACAATGTTTGGACTAGGGATGCTCTGAGAAACAAAACGAATGGTTGGAGGAACAACGATGTTTGACCTAGGAATGCTCTGAGAAACAAAACGAATGGTTGGAGGAACAACGATGTTTGGACTAGGAATGCTCTGAGAAACAAAACGAATGGTTGGAGGAACAACGATGTTTGGACTAGGGAATGCTCTGAGAAACAAAACGAATGGTTGGAGGAACAACGATATTTGGACTAGGAATGCTCTGAGAAACAAAACGAATGGTTGGAGGAACAACAATGTTTGGACTAGGATTGCGTTGAGAAACAAAACGAGTGGTTGGAGGAACAACAATGTTTGGACTAGGAATGCTCTGAGAAACAAAACGAATGGTTGGAGGAACAACAATGTTTGGACTAGGAATGCTCTGAGAAACAAAACGAATGGTTGGAGGAATAACAATGTTTGGACTAGTAATGCTCAGAGATACAAAACGAATGGTTAGAAGAACAACAATGTTTGGACTAGGAATGCTCTGAGAAACAAAACGAATGGTTGGAGGAACAACAATGTTTGGACTAGGAATGCTCTGAGAAACAAAACGAATGGTTGGAGGATCAACGATGTTTGGACTAGGATTGCTCTGAGAAACAAAACGAATGGTTGGAGGAACAACAATGTTTGGACTAGGAATGCTCTGAGAAACAAAACGAATGGTTGGAGGAACAACAATGTTTGGACTAGGATTGCTTTGAGAAACCAAAGGAGTGGTTGGAGGAACAACGATGTTTGCGCTAGGAATGCTCAGAGAAACAACGAATAGTTGGACGAACAACAATGTCTGGACTAGGAATGCTCTGAGAAAGAAAACGAATGGTTGGAAGAACAACAATGTTTGGACTAGGAATGCTCTGAGAAACAAAACGAATGGTTGGAGGATCAATGATGTTTGGAGTAGGAATGCTCAGAGTAACAAAACGAATGGTTGGAGGTACAACGATGTTTGGACTAGGAATGCTCAGAGAATCAAAACGAATGGTTGGAGGAACAGCGATGTTTGGACTAGGAATGCTCAGAGAAACAACGAATAGTTGGAGGAACAACGATGTTTGTACTAGGAATGCTCTGAGAAACAAAACGAATGGTTGGAGGAACAACGATATTTGGACTAGGAATGCTCAGAGAAACAAAACGAATGGTTGGAGGGACAACAATGTTTGGACTAGGAATGCTCTGAGAAACAAAACGAATGGTTGGAGGAAGAACGATGTTTGGACTAGGAATGCTCTGAGAAACAACGAATAGTTGGAGGCACAACGATGTTTGGACTAGGAATGCTCTGAGAAACAAAACGAATGGTTCGAAGAACAACAATGTCTGGACTAGGAATGCTCTGAGAAACAAAACGAATGGTTGGAGGAACACCGATGTTTGGACTAGGAATGCTCTGGGAAACAAAACGAATGGTTGGAGGAACAACAATGTTTAGACAAGGAATGCGCTGAGAAACAAAACGAATGGTTCGAAAGAATATTCGAATTGTTATGGTTAAAAAAGTAAAAAGATCAAAGCAATGCAAATACTTTTTCTCCGGATTCGGTAATAAATTCAGTTGGTGAGGAGGAGGTATCTTTTGTGGCCTATTATCGCTGTTATGAAAAAGATTACGCTACATGGTTGCTGTTTCAAAAAGATTACGCTACATTTGCCGAGTTTTAGAGGGTCTGAGAAGTTTAAGCTGAAAGAATTTACTCCTGATATGTTTAAATGCTTGATTTTTGTATAAGGACTGACAGCTCCTGAGGATACCAAGATTAGAAGGAGAATTTTGTTTAAAATAGAAAAATTCCAAAAATCAGTCTTCAAATTGTTGCAGAAGAATGTGAATGAATAGAAAATCTTCAACATGGCACGGTAAAAATATATGAACGCGACGTGTCAAATATTCAGACAGTTAAGCAAATACAGCATGAAGAAAATGTTGCCTGGAAAATAAATCCTTGTTATGGCTGTGGAGAGATTCCTTATTACAAGGAATGTCCATTTACAAAAAAGAAAGCTTTAATTGTGGCAGAAAGGACACAAAAATAGGTATTGCAGAAAACCCAAAAGTATAAAGGGGTCAAAAATGGAAAAGACTGTTAACTCAACTTCAATGGAAAACAAAGAAATAAAAATGATAAGAAAGTTTGTGAATATATAGATGAACAAGAAAAATGTTAAATTCCAATTGGATACCGGTTCAGATTTGACATTGATAAATGAACAAACTTGGAAAAATTGGCAGACCAACTTTACTGATCACGAAAAGAATTGCTGATAGCATTACAGGAAATAAACTAAATTTTGAGGGGGAATTGTACACAAATGTGATATTTATAGTCAAAGCCATAAAATTAAAAGGATTCGTTATGAAACGAACCCGGAAACTGTTTGGTATGAATTATCCGACCTTTTTCAACCAACCAATTAATTCTGCTTTAGTGTCACTATTAATTCAAACAAGAGTGGAAAAATTAAAAATTGAATTAACGCTAAAATTTTCTGAAATTTTTTCTAAGGGTCTTGACAGGTGCATCGGAGTTAAAGCAACATTCAAAATGAAAGATAATGTTGTTATGGGCGCGTGTTCATTGGTGCATATATCTCTTGTATTATTAATGATTCAAGAAAACAACGAAACTCCAAATGTGAATCAACAAGTATATATTGACATAACATACAGAAACAAAATATACAGTAATTTGTATTCAATGTATAGATTAAGGGAAAAGAAGTTGCTTCGCTTTTACCGTATTTTGATTTGTAAATGATTGTTCGAAAGTTCTCTTGAGAGAGAAATGTTCAGGAATCAATGTTAGAACATGTCTGCTGTTAGAATAGATAACACAAGAATACAATTGATCAGAAAGTGTGTTGTGTTAGAGAAATCAACAGCCCTGGTTGATTGAACTTGACTTAGTCACAGAGATATGTATTACAAAATTCTGTGTCTGTGTGCGCGTTTGAAATGTTGTGAGTAAAGTCATAGGTTTGTGTTGACAGGCAAAATTTACAGGACCCTACTGGCGGCTTGTCAAAAAATTCGCCTCTTTTAAGGCTATAGAAACCGCAGGAAAAGTTGATTTTGCACTAAAATATGTGATTGGTTAAATTTGTACTAATGAAACAAGTAAGCAAGTTCAAAACCGAAAAATTCAAAGCAACGATTGCGATCACTAAATTGTCCTAGGGATAGGCAGTATTGATTTATTAGCCAATTGCAGACGAATAAAATGTGGGCGTGGAAAAACATAGCAGTCGCTACAATGTGACAGCTATATTTATACGGGAAAGAAAAGCACCTTTTGCAGTGGAAGCTTCCAAAAGCAAGGAATTGGACCATTTAGTAAAAAATATCGTGTTGAGTGAGTGTGTCGGAGTTAGCTCCTCCTTAATTCCCTGATTGTTCACTAGGGGTCACTCTCCCTACACTATAAATACTGGGCAACTTTTTGCCTCGTTCTCTTTTTCAATGTGAGCTCTCGCAAAAAGATAGCGTTTCCCACTTGCGGGAAGACGCCGTGAACCCACATACACGTACGTACAAACATTCACCAAAGAACAAACATAAATGTTCACACACACGCAAATGTTAATGTCTATGTCCATTGTAAAATTCTGTTGTGTAATACATATATTTGTTGACATATATATATCGGTCTTGTTTGTTTTCTTTTCATCTTCAGTTGGACAAATTGAATTCGCCATTTTTCTTGTAGTTGGACCTTTCTAGCAGGAAATAAACGCACGTGTTTCCAAATACAAAAACACACAAACCTACGCGGTCCTCTGCAAGTGGACAACCCCTACTGTTTACGTGAAAAAGAAAAATAATAAAATTAGAGTCTGCACAGATTTTTCTACAAGATTGAACGATTCTTTGGAAACATGTAATTACCCTCTACCGAATTCGAAAGACGTACTCACAATATATAATGGTGGCTGAGTGTTCTCAAAACTGGATTTGTCTGAGGTGTACCTCCAGATTCCTGTCGACGAAAAATGTGCGAAGTCTTTAACTATAAATATGCATAAGGATCTGTATAGATTCAACAGACTGCCATTCAGGATAAAAGTTGCACCAGGCATTTTCCAACGATTCATGAATATGTTATTGAATGACGTGAACTTCTGAATAGTCTACCTTCACGACATCTTAAGAGTGAAAGCTGAGAACAACACGCTGAACATGTTAAAGAAGTTTTTGAAAGAATAAAACAATACGACTTAAAAGTTAGTTTAGATGAATGTGAATTTTTTTTATCTAACATTAAGTATTTGGGACAAGTTATGGATGTGAAAAGTAGAAAAACAGACTCATCGAGATCGAGTGCGATAAGAAACATGCCACCCTAAACAAATGTGTCAGCACTACAAGCATTCTTGAATCTAGCACATTACTACGGTAATTTTATCCTAAATATGCATTTATTTGAGGGCTCCTCTAAACAAATTCTTAAAAAAGATTCCAAATGGTACTGGAGTATGGAATGTCAGAGTGATTTTGAGGAAATTAAAAAAAATATTAACATCAGACTTAAATCCAAATAAAGAAGTTATTGTTGCATGCGACACTAGTAACTAGTAGCTTAGGAGCTGTAATATTACACAACGAAAGCAACAGCCAAGTAAAAGCGATTATACATGTGTCAAGGACCCTATTGCCAGCTGAAAAAGGATATAGCTAAATTGAAAAAGATGTTTTAGGTATAATTTTTGCAGTAAAATGGTTCCCTGGACTCATACATGGAAGGAGTTATGCTTCAAACAGAACATCGACCGTCATTGTTTATTTTTGGTTCCAAAAGAGGGATTCCTACATATACATCAAATTGAGATGGGGAACAATATTATTATTAAATTATATTTTTAAGATGGAGTTCCTTCCGTCAAAAAGGTTGGGTTATGCAGATCGGCTATCCAGGTTATGTGATCCCTTAGAGGAAACTGTGATAGCACCGTTAAGGTTAAGAATAAAATAGAAATGGAAATAAAAAGTGTGCTACGCAACACCATACGTGAATTACCTGTGACGCTCGAGGGAAATCAGAATCAAAGAAAAAATAAACAAGTATATCACAGAGAAAAAGAAGCAAGTGACATTTTTTTTTATCTGTGATGAAATATTAATGTATGGGGAATGTGTGGTAATACCGGAAGCGCTAAAAAGAAGAACACTTAAAGATTTTCATACCAAATACACCCTGGTATATTGAGGATGAATGCTTTAAAGAGAAACTATGTTTTGGGCGGAATATGGACAAAGAAAAAAATATGCATAGTTTGGTGCTATCAAATTTAACTCTTTATAACAGACAGACCTTGGCAAAGGCTGCATATTGATTTTGCAGGTCCAATAAAGGGGCAATACTATTTTATTGTGGTTGACATTTTTTTAAAAATCGCCAGAGGAGATAAAATTTAAAAATCCTACGTGTAGTACTACGATAAAATTTTTGCATGAACTTTTTGCAAGATTCAGTGTTCCGAATATGATTGTATCGAACAATGACACGCAATTTTCGGCAAAAGATTTCAAAGATTTTTGTAATTTTTTTTCACTTGTACATCTGACTACCATATCCAAGCAGAAATATTTGTGGATACTTTCAAGCAAGCTTTGAAAAAAGTCAAACGGAAATAAATCTATTGACGAGATACTACACATCTTAAGTATATCGGGTGACACCGAACCCAAGTACAAATTCACGGCAGAATTAATGTTTGAAAATAAAATAAAATCGGTATTCGACAAGCTGTTACCAAAGGAAAATAAAAAAGAAGTACGAAAAAACATAATTACAAAATCCTATACACCAGGAGATAAGTTTTTTTTCAAACAATATAGGTACGGTAAAAAAGTTCTGGAATGCTAGTGCCATAGATAAACGCATCAAGAGATTGATGTACATGATTAAAGAACACGAAAAGACAGTTAAGACAAGAGACATCACAACCAGATAAAGAAAAGGTACTTGGACTATATGAATAACCGAAAGAAGAGCCGATGAAGGTTATTTATGACCTATTCGAGGTACCAATGCCTTTAGTAGCACCGGACGAGAGATGTTTGAGTAAGCGAAAAAGGAAATTGTTAGGGATTATACAATTAAACCCAAAAAGACAAAAATTCAACTTCCAGAGGAAGTAGTAAACTCAAAAAAGAGGGGATGTTGTGAAGTACCGCTGCATCCCCAAAAGATGGACAGATCACGCCCTCTTACTGAGAGAGTGAAAGTTGAACAGAACTGAGGTGAAATTCATAATTACCTGTTATTCCAGTAGATTGCGTTCTCGACTGCTAGTACAGTATTAGTCTTTCTAATAAATTACTACTACTTTTTATATGTATATTTTCTTATCCATTTCAAGATACAACAGTGCCCAAGTCTCACTGCCATAGAGCAGGGCAGATCGTACACAGACAGAATAATTTACCACAATTTCTCGACAATACGT